TATATCCACAGTATCGTATGTACAACTACGTTCCCGAAGTGAAAAATTCGATACTCGGGCGAGCTGCCACGAAAGTCTAAATGAAGATGCGTTCCATAGGGACGGTGTTCGATCGATATTACTATACATCAAATTTTTTTTTTTTTTTTTTCCGATGCCAATTACACTTTGAATATTTTACAAGCATATCCCTTGGGTTGTTAGACGTACGTAAAATCCTCGGTGATTATTAAAATCTCTATCGGTTGCGGGAACCTTTGGTTAATAATTCATATAGTATCTGTTAGTATCTAATTTGTTAACGACCTACCTCCTTTTTTCTTATATCAATCTTTACTTGCATTTCATTAATTCTTCGTGTAACGATGGCTCTATTGGGCTATTATTGTAACGCGTGTGGATATTCCATCGTTTTAAAATTTAATTTGTATTACTCAACCGGATTTAGTTATTGCACGTTACGTCTCTTTTGAACAGTGTTAAATTGAGCGATTGATTTCGGAAGGGCTTATGAATAGGCGCAATTATCGCTGTTGGCACACGGGCAGTATGGAAACGCACAGCGGAGGGTGAATTTGTGAAAATGATGGTTAACACCAGAGAAAATAGCAGGCTGCTTGGAAAATCGATAGGCTCGTGAGCACCGTTTTATTCTGTTCCCGTCTCTACTATTTTACTTGCTTCTTGCAATCTTCCGTGTAGATTTTCTCTCGCGGTACATCCCAGGATAGGTCAGACTAGACGTTTTCTATATGAGTTAAAAGGGACCAGACACGAATCGGGAGAAAACGTACAACCCCTTTAAGTATTTCTGGTTGGTTGATTTCAGAAGTAGGTATTGATAATATATCCACTTTTTACGTAGCTGGGGTGATAACGAGTATCGATGATGCAGAAAAATATAATTTCCAATTTAATTAAATTAGTACAGAATTATGATGGATTTTGATATCTTATAAAAATTTATATATTTTCATAATTAAATATACACCTTACGTCTGATCTTATAACATTAAGGTCATATGACTCTTGAGGATAATTAATATAAACGACTCGTTAAGCGTGATTATACGAAAGATGTAATAACGAAAGGTCAGGTCAGTCGCGTAGAAATAAGGAAAACAGGATATTTGTCACTGTCTTGCATCAGACTTGTCATTGTTCTCGAATTGATGTTCTGTCCAAGTTATCACGATAACAAATTCCTACCACGTGGCTTTTATTGACACTACACTAAATCGCCCTAAGTTTCAAGCTTCGGTATTAACTGACAGTGTAAATATTTATAGTGTTATCCGTATACTGTAAAGTGCAATTGCTCGTGCAATGGATCCGAACGAGCCTCAGCCCGGTGCTTCAACTTCGCCCCTTTACACAGGCACCCTGCAACTTCGCTTTAACGTAAGTGAATAAAAACCCAGAGCCTTTGAAGTTTACGGAGCTTTTGTTAGAAAGGCCAAGACTGTGCTGCCGACGCCAATGCCATTACAACCAACAGGCCGAGCCAAGAGCTCCTTTTTTTTTTCTTTCTTTTTTTTTTTTGTAACTCGTGTAAACTAAGCTTGTCAAGGTCTCCTGTTAGAACTGGCGACCCCTATTTTTTTTTTCATATAGTAACTAGTTTCGCACGCCGGGGAGAACAAGTTCTTCGAGTAGTCGCAGTATATGGTATTTATGTTTCACTTTGATACGTCAAAGGTTTCAATTTAACTTGATCTCTTTGAGCAGATGTGAATTATTTTTCATTTTTAATTAATCAGCCGGTTCAAGTGCCTTCTCGGTGATTTGTGGGTTCGTATGGCGACTCGTGCGATAGTCCTTATAAAATATTCTGGATTGAATAATACATGAGCTGACCCCGTATAAGATTAGAGCGTTTGACAAAGATGGTTCAGTGCACAGGAGTAATGAACTGCATTATCGTCTTAAGATGCATCGTGTCACTCAAGGGGGTGGATATTAATCGCGCTAGCTGAGAAACTTCGTACCACCTTGGAATTTAACCGGTGATTTATCTTTAGGGTCGGGTTATGTCTATTTGCCACGTGGATATTGTCGTTAGCAGGATATATAAAGTGCGTTCGACGTTACTTCGCAGGGTGTCAATTCTTTGTGATAGAAAATAGCGAGTATCGAGTTTCAATTTCTGGCACGTGCTCATTTCTATGATAGATGTGTCCTTCAATTCATAAGTTTTGGCCTGGTCGATATTGGCGGGGCTCGTGGTACGCTTACTTTCGGCTCGATACGAGGAGCTTTCGACCTCGTGGTTTTTAGCGATAAAACGCACGTAAACCAAGCAGAGATGTAGATTCGAAACTTTTAGACCTAATTCAATTTCCTTTGCTCGTGGCAGACCGAGGTTCCGGAAAAGTCGAAAACCCAGAACGAGAGTTGCAAGTTTTCGGGTTCCACTCCTGAATGATCACATACGTCCGTTATTTAGTTTATTTTTGGAGTTTTAATGCTTTAATAACGCGACATCATACATCCATATAACCACGGAAGGAAACGAAGATCTTTCGAGATGTTTCGTGCATCAGCGCCGCCTGGCGTAACTGTTGAAAACTAATATGTAACCTGCCGACAAAAAAAAATTTATGTGAAATTTCATTTATCTACATGAAATACGACTGGACAGTTGATAATTATTTTTTGACTGGCAAGAGTAATTTTTTAAACTTTTTTTATTTCTCTCGAGAATCACTCGAAATTCTTTAATTACTCGAGTCTCGTTGAACTGTCTATAGGTACTGAGAGAGTTTGCGGAATGACTGTTATTAATTAAGCTTGAAAACTTTTTCAAAGTTTTGTCTGTTTCACGCAAATGACTACCTACTCCTTTCTCAGGATAAGTCATAGCACGTCTTATGTCAAGGTTGAACCTAATTTCTCGTCTCGAAGTCAAACTCTCGAAACTAATTATATCGCCAGCCGAACTGTAGTAATAATCACCCCGTAGCAGAACTGCAATATTCTCAGAAAAGGGTTGAGGTCGATTATTAATTTCTGGTACAGACAGGTGTCGCTATCTGGACATTTACGTCGTACCTGACATTAGATATCGTTCGACTAGCTTTAATTAATTTTCTCATTTATTAATTAACATTTTCGTAATATTTTCCAAACAAAAATTCTTGCTCGCTCATATCCATATTAAATTTCCTCGTACTTCAGCCACAGACTTCCTAAAATTTTTCCTTAGTATGGATACCTATAGATTCTCCTATTGTTAGAGAAAATTGATTTTCAAATACAAATTGTCTATACAACAGTATGGCAAATAATAATAAACTTAACATGGCTGTGAGAGTAATTCGTTTGAGGGGACGCGATAGTTCCACACAAAAATATCATATAGGTGGAATATAATAAAAAAACATATTTTCTAACATATATTATGTATTTTTTACCATGTTCCGTCTATATGACACTTTAGCGTGGGTCCGTCCTACCTGTAAGCACTTTTTGATTACTAGTGTCGTACGTCATAGAGGGAAATATAATTTTCTCTCGTTGGCTGTAAAATACACAACAGTAGATACGTATCAACAGCCTCTAGCCTCTATTACGAATGGATTCACAAATGTGTTCATAAAGTGATGTTTTTCACGCTTCGCCACATCCTAGCATGTGCTCATAATGTCCACCCTGTGGTTACTTGTTACAGGTATCCTGGTGCCTAGTGTGAATTGCGTCAAATGGGTGTATAATGAAACTCCTGTATATTTGACAAACGTGTACTTGATAAATGTGAGCAATTCGTGAAAATGAAAATATTTAGTTAAAAAATGTAATTTGACCGAAATCACGTAAAAGACACGAAACTATGTATCATAATATTTATAATATTACGACAAGACTGTTTAACCATTAGAAGTGAAATTACGGTGATAAAATAAAAATTAACTGCTGTATTTTATTGCAATTTAGGTAATATTAGCAGGGTCTGAAAATCTTAATTTTCCCCGGGTTAATTAAGCCCGAATAAGTAATAGGTGAAATGAAGAGAAGATTCACTGGTCATTCGCCATATTCCTCTACCTAGAAATTTCCCTAGATTAGCATACTTAGTACAGACATTGTTTTCGTAATCCTTTCTATGTTATCCTCTTCGGATCCCGATCTCTATCCTCTTGACTTTACGTCTTTGTGCGTAAGAGTTGGTAGAGGGGTTGATTACGTAAGCACAGCATATGCAGAAGCTTTCGCAAGTCTTGAATTTATCCCACGGCGTTAAATACAAATAATTGTCTTAAACTGGTTTCTCTTGTTCCCATTCATGTAGCCAACCGGTTTTCATTCGACGCTTGATCCAAAACGCTCATCCTGGAAGTATTTCTAAAGAGCCCAAACGGAATTACGATTTGAGTCAGTCAAGTTGGATGAACCGTCACAATACTTTGTCTCGTTCTTCTTTATAGCCATGTTAAATTACTATACCTAAGATTGGACTTTTCTTCCGGGTTAAAAAAAAAAAAATACGGAAAGCAGTGGTAGATAATAAATATTTCACTAGAAATCGATTTGAACCAAGTCACTAGAAATAGCCAGTCAGCAGATCAGGTTCGCGCGGCCGATCGATCGGGCAGTATAGCCCAACCCTCGAGTAAGGGAAGTAGGAAAGCGGTTAGACGGTACAGTTTATTTACATTTCCTGAGATGCCGTAAGACCTCAGCTGTCTATTAGTCTTCATTTAGACTGTCTAAATGTTAGCAAAAATCAACCAGACGCATTAAACTCTCACGTATAATTGAAGTACGCTGATTTATTATTTTACAATTATAAAATGATATCAAAAATTTGAGATATCAAATTAAGACATTCTACATTCTCTCATTCAAAATTTCGTATCTTGATTTTGAATTAAACAAATTTTTTTTTTTATTTTAATCTTATGGTTCGAGATCTCACTGTCGATCTTTATGGTGTTAATGAACGACTCCATCGATATTCCACTGTTCTACCGTCGTACCAACTGTGATACTTGTGTTTGCAGAATGTGCTGCGCGAGTTGGAGCAGAAGAAACCACAATTGGATGAGCTGGTTCACACCGCAGAAAATCTTCGCGCCGATACCAACCGACAGCAGCTACACGGCAAGGGTGAGTTTTTGAACTATTAATATTATTTTACGGTCTAGGGTGGTTTTGATACGTGAAACTCAAAATTTCCTAAAGTCCATTAAATGCGGATGTGACTACGAAGATTCTTGAAGCTGGAGGATTTTTCATCAGAATATATTAAGAGTAACGACAGGATGGATTTACGCAGGCTCGCGCGATATTAGACCGTGCGAATTTTATCGCCCCCAAAGTGATTCGCACTGGATAGAAAATTGTGTAGGGGGACAGGTCAGAAGATAGATTTCTTTTTTCGACGTGAAAAGAATCGAGCTCAGAAACTCCGATTTCGTTGACCACGCGTAAACTTTCACTAAGGTCGGCCCTATTAACCTCATTCGTCTTATTTATTTGCCAGAGTTTTCCAAGGATTCAGAGTAATGCTGCGAGAGAGAGAAATAGCTAGGCCAAATATAGAGAGTCTCTATCTCACTCTACGCCACGTGGCATCTAATCAAAGTTTTACAAATTGAATACCGAATTTTAGATTTTTTCAACGGCACTCATCTCTTTCCTGTCGCTATTTGTATGTCCACTCCTCTAATGCCTACTGGGTAATATTTTCATACTGAATAATAGTACTTTGACATTTGTATACCAATATCGAAAATGGTTGGTAGTTATGTTTGCAATTTTTTTTTTTTTTTTCATGAATTGCAAATGCTTTTGCTTCTTGCGACAGTCGTTCTTATTGTCCTATTAATTATTTCAATAGCAGCAGGGGGATACCTCGATCAACTGTGTATTGTTCGTTTTCTATTACTGCCTGAGTACCTCCGTCTACTGTTCTCCATATTTCGCATTACCAGACAATTCTTTCCTCTATTGTTCAGCCCTTACTATTCCCTGGCGGCATAAAAAAAAGACCTCGTATTTGCGAATAGTAAAAGTCCTGATGCGCCACGGCGCATTTTCGCAAAATATTGCGTCCCTTTTTTTCCACAGTGCGATTCAACGTGCGCACGGACATTTGTTTTACACGAAAAATTTTTTAGCAGCTTACTTTAGAAGCGAAAGTAACGTTTGCGCAACGAACAAGCTTTTTTTTATTCGACACCAGCCAGACGTGCGTCGGAACGTGTTTTCGAGTGATCACGTATTAAAAACCTTCACTTTACTCGCGTATACTCTATTTGAAAATACTTTACAGACTATTTGCCGTAGAACCGGCGAGGCCAAAAAAAAGAAGTGCGTTCAATTTTAAAGGGGATATTTCCACGTGTCATAAAGCTCCACCGTGCGAAACGTATGTCGAGCGACAACGAAATTACGTTACACGGTATCCTCGTGATAATTCATAAAACATAATATTCCCATAAATCTAGCATCAGTTTGAAACTTGGTCCATTAATCATGACGATACAAAATTCCGAGCGTATCCTATATAATGCAATCTCATTACGTCATATAATCCCGTGTAGATTAGTTATTACTCTATTAAATTCCTGCGAGTCTTCATGCGGATATCTACACGAGCGAAGCAGCCACTGCAATAACTTTGCCAATATGTGATATTAGCATCGCTATCGGTATAGCGGCCTGCTATTATAGTGGTATCATCCATTGAGATCTGGGACTCGAATCGAAGGTGCATCGTCCGTTGAAAGCGAAGCCAAAGTTCAGGGCTGTCGTCACGAACGGTGCATACGAATTTATGCATTTCTAAAGGCCCGAAAATATATAACGTGCTATTTATCATTATGCGTTGAATTGAAAGATATGACGATTCGTCGTATTACATAAAATCAGCCGTAGAAGAGGACTCGTTGGGGTACGTGAATTATCACTCGGATGAACCCTCCGGGGTCTAGTGGGACGTCTGCGTCTGGCTTCTGGGAATGATGATGTCCTCAGACAATTGCATCTCTCAGCTAGAAGCTCTGTCTATGTTCTGGATGTTCAATGCTTGTAATTCCGCGTCCACGTTCCCCTTTATGATTGAATTTGACGTCGATTGGAGTGGCGATAGTTTCCGGCAGGGTGTGATTAACCCGTGGACTGTTCAGTGTCTATATACGGTTGGTTGGAGAAGTAATCAGAAAGTGGAAGTAGGGAATTGGTATTGATTTTGGTATCGACTTTTTCGTAAATTAACCCTCGTGTTTACATTGCCACAAGATTTGTGGTATCAGCGCATATAATTTTTGCTGGTTCAATTTATTTTTCGCTTTTATCCTATCCAGGGAATAGGCCGAATTCGAAATTGAATTTTTCAATAAAGTAAAAAGATTTTCTTATGGACGCAACGTGACTGCCCTTAAGAAACGTGTATCCAACAACTTATCTCGTCTCTGAAGATCGAGTGGACTTCGGAGTAAAATCAATTTTCAATTCTTAACATCGACACTTCACTCGGTACGCGCGGTTCTCTTCTTTGGTAAATGGGAAAAGTTTGAGTAGTTTTTAAGTCCCGCGCGACTTACCTCTAACACCCAGCCTTGAGTAGTGTCAGTGTTTTCTGAAGGGTGACACGAGTGTCGAGAGTGCAGATGTAACTGGTCACGGAGTACCGAAAAATCATAAAAATTTATCAGCACTTTCATGAGACTTACTTCAGTAAGATTGAAACGTATTAGTTATCAATTACTCGGAATTCCTTTTTTTTTTTTTTTTCATTTATTTACCCACAATACCTAAAATCCATCATTTGCGATCTGTCGTTTCAATTAATTAACACCGATTGTAATATATTACATTTAATACCTCAAAGACCCCCTCGCTGTCCCTCTGCCGTCCTTATCGTTTTACCAACGAAAGACCTCCGGTACTTTGTGTGTATTGGTTGAGGCTTTACACAAGAGGCTTACGTTAACCAAGTGAACATCTCGTGGTAAATGCCGCCTCGGAGGTGGCGGACTGGGCTTTAATTACGTGCACGAAACATACGAGACGTGCTGCCGTGCGCGCCAGTTTTACACGGGTTACTGCGCATCCTTGTGGTTTAGTTTATGTAGCGTGAACTTGCTGTCTTGGAGTTGGACTGAAGTTTCTCATGTGCTCCAGAATTCGTGTTCGTCTTCTTGCCACGATGGGATTTCAGAATTTCTATCTAGCGTGTAGACGCTTTTTCCTCCTGTTACCTCGTGGCAGATACCAGCCTTCGCATTTGTATCCCGTAAAACACCGCGCAGGTCTGCGATGTCAGACTTACCGGAAATGAGGGACTTATCGTGGGAGCTTTTTAACCGTGTCTCCTGTGCAAGCTCAGTGATATAAACTTTGTAATTCGGAATGTGTTAATTGGAAAGACTGTATGCGGTATATGTTAACCACGTGCATACGCATATACGCATGGTTGCACGTTTATAGGGTGCACAGACGACAATAAGGGCTACTTCAAAGTCCTGAATGTACAGTGCAAATTACAGTTTGACGTATGTAGCTTGGTCATGCTGTTATATATTAACGCGGGTAGACGTAGGTGGCATAATATCACCATGCATTAATGGTACGTGAGTAACAACTGTACGTACGTCAGGCTGTTTTCGCGGGTAAATTTTAACTCGATTTTTAATAAAATTGACGTTGCGAGTCGTATTCGTTTACCTTGTTAATTTTTATATTCCTACTTGTATGAAGGGTTGGTATTTCTTTTCATTGTCGTATCCATTCTAGTACCCTTGTAGTGTATCTTGGGGATGCAGCTTCTTGGCAGAATTATAGTGGCACGAATGGAATCGTTTCTTTGGTTTGGATTCAATGGAATTTTCTCAATCGAATTATTTTTATCTAATTACGAGAAATTAATGAAATGAATTTGCAAAATGACTTCTTGAAACGAACAGGGGTTTATGAATGTAGAATTGTAAAGGAGATCAGTGCAATAAGCGTAATTGCGTAATTGAGGACAGAGGGTGTAATAACTAGAAATATGCCACCCTTCTTTAAATGTACCTTACGGCTAGAAAGATTTACGAGCTGACAGAGGAAAACCGAAGGAAGCAGTAAGGCCGAGTGAGGTTCGGAAATTATATGCAAATTGTAGCAATTATAGTTGCTACAGTTCTGTAGGATTTTTACCTTCTCGCGATTCATCCGGATCAGCAGTTACGTCAAGACAGAAAGAATTTTTATTGTGACAGCAGGGGGGGAGGGGTGATTGGATAAGGAATCGAGGTTCATACAAGTAGTGGAACCTATTATGATACCCTTAAAGGGAAAATTCTCTTTTATTCGATTCAACAAACAGGAGATTCTTCGATATCAAGTGAACGTTATCAAATTATATGAAATCGATTTCTCATTAATCTCTTTCTTACTTCTCCCACTGTCATAAATCTACCAGGTGGATGGGCAAGGAATTCCAATATTAAACGCATATCAGGAATCGTGCAACTTCAATCTCACTTCTACCCCTATACCGTAGTCTAATAATCGTATATACTTTTGTTGATACGTCTGCCAGGCCTGAAACTTTAATACGAGTTCATACAAAATACAAGCATAGAAGTTACCGTAAGGCACTTTCGATATTCTATTATTTCCAGAAAAATATAAGCTTCAGCAACTCCATTGTGATTTTTATCTTTTTTTCTTCTTCTTTATTTCGTCCTCCGAGTTATCTCGTCCAATAATAAAACCTCGCGACAAAAAATTAACAGGAATTGTTGTTTGTCTAGTTAAGGCGAGTGTCACGTAAATGAGAGAAGAGCTCGTTCAATTATAAGTTACAAATCTAAGGACAGTAAGTAACGCAAAAACGAATCGTGTCGGTATACGTGTATAAATGTACTCTCCTCTCTCGCTGAAGTACTCTCTTAATATGTTGCCGGATTCGAGTAGGATCTTTTGCAGTCTTTCACGACTTTTACATGAATATTCAACCGAATTTACGTTCATAAAATTGACATGTGAGTACACAAAAAATTCTTTCTTTTTTTTTTTGATATTATATATAATATATATATATATATATATATATATATAATATAATATATATATATATATAATATAATATATAATAATATATATAATATAATATA